TTTTTTTTTTTTTTGTTGGGGGGAGGCGGGGGGGGGGGGGGGGGGGGGGGGGGGGGGGGGGGGGGGTACGACGACGCTCCTTGTTGTTACTTTTCAGTCGAAGTGCGTTAGATGTAATAAAACAACAGGAAGCAACAAGAAGAGCAGGCCTGCTTCTTTCCCGATGAGTTTCTGAGAAATTCCAAGTGTCCGTGTTTTGACAATCGGACGGTGTTATGTGAGTATTTCATTATCCAGGTGGGGGCGGGAGTGAGGAGAGGGGAGGAAAGCTAAGGACAGAGGGGAGGGGGGGGTGTAAGGGGGGGCGGGGGGAGAGGGGGTCTCGGCACTCTCAACACTCGCGTTTGACTGACTGACATATACACCCCTGTCCGCTTTAAGCGTGTCACTCTTTTTTTTTTTCACCCCCCACTCGCTGATCTCCTTTCCCGATTTTTCGTCTTCGCAGCGGAGCTTTGGAGCGCGCGCGCCCGGAGCTGCGGCTGGAACCTGGCCGGGACCGGAGAGACACGAGACACGCCACGCCACGCCAGACCCGCACTTCGGACTCCTCTCCTCCGACGAGGCGGCGCGATGTGTTCCGTCATCGGAGCAGCACGGTAGTCCGAGTCCGGCGGCGGGAGCGCGTTTATTCGGACGGAAACGCGGCTGATCTGAGATCTGCACCGAGCTCTTTCCAACCCCACCCCCCCTTTCTGGGTTTTTTTTTTTTTTTTTTTTTTTTTTCCTTTTCTTTTCCTGATCGGACGAAGTTAACGTTTCCTTCTCAAAATCGTCTGTATACATAAAGAAAAGGGGAAAAGACGTAAAGATTTAGAAACTCTTCACCCTACGTGGGGATCTACACTTTTAAAATAAATCCACCTTCGTTCGCTTCCAGCTTTGTCCGCTGTTTTGATCTCTGCATGAACAGTCAAGCGGAAAATCCCGCAGCAGCATGCCGAGGAGAAAGCAGCAAGCACCGCGGCGGTCAGCAGGTAAGCCCCCAGCTCTGCAAACACACACACACCCACACACACACACACACACACCCTGAAATCTGCACGGATAGTTTTCTTCACGGCAGCTTATACAAAAACTTCTACATCAGTTTTCTATAATGAACTTTCTAACTCAGAACCTCCCAATTCATGCAGTGAACTTTTCTAGTTTAAGTTCTACAAAAATGAAAAAAAAAAAAATAGTAATATTTCTAGATGTTTCTTTTTACCCCAGCGTTGTTTGATGTGAAAAGAAAAGAATGAAAAGTTGCATATTTCCAGCTTGTGTTCCGCTCTGGGATTGCCATCCTTGATTTGATGCTTGATTGATCGCCTGTCATGCAACTTGCCTTTGATCTATTCATTCCTGATAAACATCAGTAAATCATTCACCACGCAGAGACACGCATGCGTTAGATTCTCTGTGGATTAAGGGGGAACAAAAAGGCGTTTTGTGTGTGAGGAGGGGGTAACTTTTTAACCTTCCCACCGAGGAACAACAACAACAACAACAACAAAAAAAAAGACAAATTGGGAAAAAAAAAAAAGTTCTCATGTGGGATAAACAGTTGACGATTAAACATCCACAGGGGAGGTGGAGATGGGAGAGAGAGAGAGAGGGAGGGAGGAGGGGAGGGGGTGAGGGTGCTGGAGCGTAGCGAGATCACAGGGAGATGATCCTCAGACGCTGCAGGGTCACAACAATGTCTTCAACTGACCTCTAGAAAAAACAAAAAACAAAAAGAGAGATGGCGGGAAAAAAAAGTGCATTTCATGTCCAGCTTAGTGTAGGAAACTTATACATCAAATTCCAGAGTAACAACATGTGAAATTCTTCAAGTGTGAGTTGAAAATGTTCCAGACAAAAGGGGAAATCACGCTGATTAGCTCAGTTTATTTTTTATTTTTTAAAATTCTAATTACATGACGTGATTTCATACTAAGCTACACAGTTACAAATGTCTGCTTTCAGTATGTCGCGAGACGACCCCCCCCCCCCCCCCACACACACACACCCACAAACACACACACACAC